TGTGGTTGAAAATAATAAACAAACAGATCTAAAGAAAAGATATTGTATATTGTACATATATTTGTTAAGAACCAGTTCATTCATGAAACGAATTTAGTCGTATTGTGTGGGCCCATGTTAGATCATTTAGGGTATTCCGAATCACCCCGCATATCGCGACTCTCGGTAATTTACCTTACCGCTGTACCTCGCACAACACATGCACAGGTGTGACAACCAAACAGTCATTATTAGTAAGGTCTATACTTATTACATACAACAAATAAAGAGGTAAACATAATGCGTTAACTAAAAGAATTAATTATTTTAATTCATTAACTTCCTACCCTTTTCGAAGAAAATGCCCGTGTAGAAACGTTGCATGGTATTTCTCATCGATGTCGTGGCGTTGTTGGTGGATGAAACATGGCATATAAGGTATCGATAGAACGGCAATTTTATAAGCTTTTGTGAGTATTATTTGTTTTTTATAACACCTCAAAAATATACTAGTTATGACCGCATTTGTAGCCCCCTATAGTTTCGAACCACGTGTGTACATGCCCCTAGCCAAATAAATTGCACACGCTACATGTATATGTCAGATTATTATTTTTTTTTATAACATTGTTTTTCTTAAATGCAAGGGGTATGAAAGTAATGATTTGACAAAGCAAGAGCTATAATAAGACTATCCCGGGTCCCGGTATACACTTGATCAGTGTTGATCAATGTTGATATGTACGAGTACACGTATGCAGTGATATACGTCATTCTTGATAATCATGAAATCTAAACATGAGTTGGTTTAATTCCTTTTCACAATTTTTTTTATCATCATTATATCATTATTTGGTAGCCTACTCGTAGAATTATGACAGTTCAATGTTAATTATTTGCATTAAAAAAATCACATAGGTAAAAAAAAATTACATAATTATCATGATTATATTTACAGGACAACAATTTACAATCAGGTAATTTCAGAAAGTAAATACTCTGTTGGTATTTGCTTTTCTGCATGATCCGCCTCTGAGAATGCTGTTTTATAGTGTGTCTACAGAAGGGGGGGGGGGGGCTTTAATAACTTAATAAAAAAAAAAAACAACAACATTCAACAAGAAAATAATTCTTTTTATTTTTTGATACTTTTGGTAAACAATGCCAACTTATTCATTAATTATAATGTTGTTATCTGACTGTTTTTAGCCATTTACCTGGTGATTCGAAATACCCGGAAGTGACCTGCAATACACTAAAAAGGTGATGTAAATATAACCCCTGTCAAGGCCGTTGTATCGTAGATAGACTCGCCGTGTAATGTAGATTTGATTTCTCATTGAATTGGCTTTCCTTTAATACCAACCAACCATTTATAAACTTGTTAATAAAATCGTTTACCGTCAAAATGTAAAAAGTGATTCGGAATACTCTAAATATACTCGTTATAAAAACAACTCGTTATCATCTCAGTGGACCGATAATTTACTTCAAAATAAGCTATAGATCGATAAAATTGATTTCAGATTAACCAATATTTTGTTGCAAAGATAATGTAAAACAGAGACCGGGGATTTTGTATTTCTCTGTATTTTAAACACTCGATATGCGTACATTTGGGGCGCTCTTACATATATACATGTACACTTGTACATTCGAATTCATGATCGTGCTTATAAAAAGAGGATGTTCTGTACTTGCATGCATATATGTATGTATGCATGTATCCGTAAAACTTTTCGATTTTCCCGAGAATTCATCCTCACAATGTCAATTAAGGTTCCGAAATCACATGTGAGGATGCCGAGAATTGAAAAAGTCACCTCCACTTACAATTATCATGCATGTGTACATGCAGTTTAAAACACGAGACAGAAAAATAAATTGTTGCAAACTTAATGGTTAAGTCGGCAATTAAAATGCGTAAAACTTAATATGAATAAATGCACGGGCGGTAAGGATTGATAAAATAAGCGTGAGATAGAGTAAAATAAAATAATATGTAAGATTCGAAATGATTTCAAACCCAATTTTCCATTAATCGCTATGAGTACACAATGTATTTTAATACCGATATGACCCCGGCTCTCTGCGGCCACGTGTGCACGAAGACTGGGTTACAAAGCGACAGAGCAGAATGTAAACTGTGCTGTAAGAAGGCGTGAATTATTGTATGTTTAAAAGTATTATTTGATGCATATAGTTTAATATTTAATGAAAAATTAAATGAAGAAACAATTAAGAGACTGATAGTAAAAATTATACTTTACTCAAGTATTAATACTTAATTCTCCATCACTAATTGCAATTATTTGCCTTAGCACCTTTTCAATTACAATTGAAATAGAATACAATTACACGGGACAGAGAAATAAATTGTTTGTTTGTTTGTTTTTTTAAATCGTATTTCTGTGTCGACAGTGAACAGGCCGGTAAAAGCGATTAAAATTCGAAATGATTTTATGCACTAGTGTTTGAAATTAAGACTAAATCAAAGATGCAATTACACGGGACAGAGAAATAAATTGTTTTGTTTTTTTTTAAATCGTATTGCTGTGTCGACAGTGAACAGGCCGGTAAAAGCGATTAAAATTCGAAATGATTTTATGCACTAGTGTTTGAAATTAAGATTAAATCAAAGATGAGATTAAGTTATCTTAAAGATTCAATATAAATTTAAAAAACACAATGTTTCATTAGTTGTTGTTTCTACACGATGGATTTAAAACGTGATCACAGTCTTCACAGATATTTGTTTTGTTTACATGGTTTATGACCGCAGGTGGCTGGTCGATGGTGACCTCGGCAACGTGGGATCGCGGGTTGTGTTACATAACTAAAAACATTTAGGTGAACATGGAGAAATGCGTACTGTTAATGATCATTAATTATTCGATGCTTAAAGTTTAATATTACTTATATAGTTATATAGATACATTTAATTCCTTCCTTTATTTGAAGACGTGTTCCCTTTAAATCTAAATTAAAAAAGAAAAGAAAGTTGTAAAGAATAATTTATGAGTGAACCACAGAACACGTTTAAAACCTTATTTAGAAGAAAATTAGCATTTAATACAGTAGGGTATATAATTTATTGCAAGTTTGTTAAAGTTATACACATGAAGAGTTCCGATTTACTTGCCGAATGAAAACGCTTACCTGTTTACGGGACCTGCTTTTTACCTACATATTACGACATATTACGCAATACTCAAACAAAACAACATTTGTATGAGATCAATAAGGTGTTAAAGAACAACTTTAATTCCGAAAGCCATATCGAAATATTTACCGTTTTTGAGTTATAAAGCGAAAACTTTCAAAGGCTCTAGATCCCTAATTTTAGGGGCCAGCCCCTTTTAAATGATATCAAATGAAAGCTCTTGCTATTATGCACAACTTTTATTCTACATGTTTTAACAAAATATTTTTAGTTTTAAAGATATAAAGGAAAATATGTCAAAATTTTTGCTCTTTTCCGCGTTCTAACTTTTGACCCCTCTCTAGCGCCATTTTTAATGCAAAAATCAAAAAACAAAAACCGATGTGCACAACTTCAATGCTTCTTCTTTTCAATTTCAAAGGGTTTTGTGCTCCAATTATTACAGTCTCAGAGCCTTTGTCTGGAAACCAGAGGCATAAAAATTTCAATCAAAGGGGAATAACTCGTGAACAGAAGGTAATTTCCGAATTGTATTACAGTATTCTGAGAGTGTTTTGCAAAGTCTAAAAGCTCTGAAAATTTGAACAAAATCCGTTCAGAAATGAGGAAGATATGAAGCTTCAAAGTTGGCGTCTAGGAAAAAAAAAAAAGAATAATAATAATCTTAACCATCAGAATCAGTAGAAGGTCTTCCGTTGGAAACGGAAGACCTTAATAATTATATGTATGAAAAAAAATCTATGTAAAATGGTGTTATATATAAAACCAAAAGTAATGTAAGGATTTATTTATTTATTTATTTTTTAAAATACGGGTTGTGGAGCACTTAAATTGTCTACAAAAGGATCATACAACATATCAGTCTATAAAACACAATCGCACAACTGTCTGCAAAGTAGTGTTTTCTTTGGGTTTCCTTTGACAAACATTCAAGTCCACTAATAAATGTAGAGTCATACACTCATCAGTTGAATCGATGTTTGATGCTGACTTCTCTTGGGCATTTGATCCCACCTCTAGAATTTTCGGGGGTCGGTGTTTTATGCCTTGTTTACAGATTTGTATTGTTTGTAATTTTTTGAGATCGATCACTCCTTGTTAATTTATTTTCACGTTTTTTAATTTAAATCGCACATATGCGCGCATTAGATCAGTTATTGAGCTGAACAATGTTGTTGCACTACAAAAATTAATTTATACCTCAGTATAAAAAATTAATTGATCCCTTGAATTTAAATGAAGATATCTTCTATCATCTTTTAACGATTTTGTTAGAGGAACTAATGCCCTAATCAGTTCTTTGAAAGAGAGAAAGCAACAATTATTTAAAGATATCTTCAAATAAATAAAATTATGTGAATTTGTATTAAATTGGCGCTCTATACTGACAATTTAACTTTTCATGTGCATTTTAGTAATGGGGATATGCTATAAAGATAAAAATTTCATTGTCATTTTCGATAAAATATATCCTAATTAAGTTATTACTGTATAGATTTTTACGTTTTTAAATCAAACAGTCAAATCATGCCCGTAGTACAAAAGGGGGGGGGGGGTGCGCATATCTTCTGCTGTAGTTTTCATATGAAAATTTCATTTATATGCCCACAACGCACACACACTTTTTGTTGCCGTTTGGTCTAACTCCGGCAAATTAGTTAGATAAAGATCCCATGAAGGGAAAGACATGGGCTGTAATAACTTCTTTAAGCAAATAAAAAGTTAAATAGTCCTTGTTACATGTAATAAAAGATGTGAATAATTAAACATTATTTCAGTATATTTTACTGATTTTTTTTCTTTTTTGACATACAAGAAATCCATTAATAGTAACAAACAATAACCCCTATGTTTTTTGAAAGTAACAAACACATGATGGAAATATCCACAAGGTCTATAGTTTTCAGTCTCGAGACAATAATGTGCATTTATTTAATCCTCCAACCAGTCAAACGAGTTTCTTCTTAGAAACTGAAGCTGGGGATTTTTATGTAGAGTGTACAACAGATGCCAGCGATGTTTTGCCCTGGCTTTCTTTGTCAGTTGATTATCCTTCCAGAAAGCGTTCCCTGAAATATAAATGTTAGCGTTTGTATAAGCAGTCAGAGGTTCTAGAACTAAACCATGACAGTAGCATGCCAAGAACCAGATGATAATTCGGAAAGAGAGTACCTGATACTTCCAACAAAGTGTGGATTTTTTAAGCACTACTGTAGATTTAATTAATTATAGGCGAGGAATTTATTAAAGTATAATTTTGCAAGAAGCTCCATTTACGAAATAAAAATACTCATTTTATTTTTTTATTGCTGAAATAATTGCAAAATCCCTTGAACTAACAACCACTCGCGATTTCAAGTTCTCGTGAAAATCATTTCGCTTAAAATAAGAGTCTTCAGTAATTTCAGTTTTAAGTTTAGTTTCATCAATTTTAATTGTTCTTCCTGTAGTGTAAGCTTTTAAAATATAGGGAAAAAAATGGAACTATCTTTTTTTTCTGGATCCACAGCAAAATGTAATATTTTTTTCATTTCCTTAGAGCAAACTTTTCCCCCTAAATTCATCAAAATCTTTTTATATCTTCCAATTGACTCAAGAGAGACACACTTTAAACTTACCCTTCCGATGGATGAGGTTCATCTACTCACCGACAACAAAAAAATATATGTATACGTATGAGAATTGCTGTGTTTTTCTCTTTGAGTGGGATGGAATTGGTTTTATTGCAGTGATACTTACCTAATTCAGATATTATGACCTCTCCATGTGACACAGACGCTTTAACGCTGGCTTTTAATTTTTTAGGTGGTTCGAATCCTCCAGGTCTTGCTAGCAACAGACGGACAAATGTCAATAAAACTGGATGTGACGTCATATTCTCAAAGTGCAGAAATCCCACATAGGCGCGGAAACCTGTTTTTGAAAAAGAGATAGGTATATCTATCTTTCTGCTACAAAATGGTTAGTTAATGAAGGAAACTATCGAGGCAAAATGGCTCAATGATGGCATGAAATGCTTCTGTAAGAAAAACATACTATTTATCGATTTTATAATTTACCAGTATCCAAAGTTTCGAACTCCCGGGAGAGGGCGCTATGATCCAATCTTGACAAAGTCAACGATCCAAGAATTATTGCTTTGACAAGGCGGTACGGACAGCGCATTGTACCGATTATAATATCCAAAATGAAAGTAAAATACAGGAACACAAGGTAACTCCGCCTTAAAAAAAGGAAAATGCAACGTTGTGACTTCAGATGAACTAAACCTGACAAGATCCAAATTGATTTCGAAACCTTGTTATGCACATTAGAAGAAAAAAAAGATGGCTTTGGTTCGATGTCTAAACGTATTTTAACTACTAAAGCATAAATTTGGACTATATTTTTTTGGTTCGATGTCTAAAAGTATTTTAACTACTATATCATAAATTTGGACTATATTTTTTCAGTATTTCAAAGTACAAAAACATTTTTCCCCTCATACAACATAACAAAACAAGAATTTCAATATACTGACCGATATCTAATCGCCATCACCCTCCCTTTATCCTGAAGGAAAACAAACTTTGCAGTAATGATCTGAAGAAGTCGCACCAGAACTGAGAAAACAACCATAGGCCTGTAAACAGAAAACAACCATAGGCCTGTAAACAGAAAACGGAAAACAACCATAGGCCTGTAAACAAAAAACGGAAAACAACCATAGGCCTGTGAACAAATAGAGAAAAAAACCCAGTAAATAATCATGTAAAAGAAAATAACCATTAGGCCATTAAATGAAAAACAACCAAAGACCTGTAAACAGAAAAAAAGGTCTTCAATCATAAAACAGTAGGCCTGTAAACAGAAAACAACAACAGACCTGTAAACAGAAAACAATAGACCTGTAAAAAAGGCCTGTAAAAACCATATGCATGTAGTCCTGTAAACAGAAAACAACAATAGACCCGTAAAGAGAGAACAATAGACCTGTAAAAAAGTTTTTTTTAAATAACCATTTACTAGTAGGGCTGTAAACAGAAAAATAAGAATAGGCCTGTAAACAAAAAAAAAATAAACATATGTATGTGATTAAATAGAAAACAATCATATGTCTATCAACAGAAAATAGCCATATGCCTGTAAACAGAAAGCAAACAAACTTATAAACAGAAAAATATCCATACACCTCTAACCAGAAAACAACAATTTGGCCTATACCACCGGAAATAACATAAGGCAGGCAAAAGAGAAGACAAATAGATTTTTTTCCACACATAAAACACGAGTATGTACCGAATATGTACTGTAAATTAAATATAGTTACACAAGTAGAAAAGCTGTGATATAGGACTGCTAGATGATAAAAGAATATAGTACCACATCATTTCCACAACTTTGCGAATCGGTTTTTCACGATTGTACTTTATTACGATGAAGACCAGGGATATTCCGAATGATGAGAAAAACAAAATCACAATCTGCACGGCATAAGCTAAAAGAAAAAAAAGAAAGACATTTCATTGAAAAATAAATCTAAATAGTGTGCTCCTCATTCATAGGCGGCTTAATAGGGATTCGATTATCCTCTGATGAAGAAGCTAATTTATGTTTGTTTGTGGAGGACTTCATCCATGACTAAAATAAAAGTACCGAGTCACAATAGTATTCTAGGTACCAGGGCCAAGACAGAAAAAAACTTGTTTGAAAGTAAATACTTATTATACATACCTAACATACACACACAAACTGTAGATTCGATTTTGTTTTCATGCAAAGTATATGTATATTAAATTTCTATGCACAGGACAAAGTCGAGTGATGATATGCATATTCCAGTTGAAGAGTAATTTTACTTTGCAGGTATCAAATTTCATGTTATTCTTTTTTTTTCGGTAGCCAACAGCAGGTGCCAATATCAAAAGTGATTTTGCAGGAATGATTTTTTAAATTAAGTGTTGAGACCACGAAATGCCGAAAACATTGACAGCAGAACGACGTAGGTGAGGGTTGTAGCCCATGAGCCTCTTGTTAATAAATAGTGGGTACCTTGTCGAAAGGTAAATTGTCAATGTATTATCCAGATTCTGAGGATCAACTGTATGTTTTTCAATTTATTTATTTGCCAAAAATTACGTTATAAATAAATTTTATTGTATCATGCACTAAATATACTGTACCAAAGATTACAAATCCTATCTGGTATCCCGCAAACTGCATGCTTCCCACCTGAAAATAAGCAATGTATAAATTGAAGTTTAATACATCCTTATCTATTGTGCATTCATGTGAGTTTTATCATTAATATACTCAAGACCACATGCAGGCACCTGACGTATGAATGGTGTACACCTAGCTAACCCCAGCCTTTTAATGTTTTTTTTTTTTTTACCTGTGGATCGGCAATCACTACATGATACAAGATGTAACAAAAATGGAAAATGACATCAGAATACAGATATAATGTGCTAGAAATTAAAGTGTTTCTAAAGTTATCGTGTCTTTAAAAATATCTCGAAAGGTGTGTGTGTGGGGGGGGGGGGGGTTAAACCATCCATACGTCAGGTGTCTGTGGTCAAGAGCTGTTGTCCCTCTCTTGTTTTACCAGGATGTCCGTATTGTTTTGGTTTTCCCGTTTTGGGATGTGTGAGCTGTCTCCGCGGTATAATTCCATCAGATATTGCCTGCAAAATTTGAATAGATATACCAAAATAACCATGCACTGTGTGAATTTTGGTAAAGGGGAATGTAAAATTTATAATTCAACATACAGAGACACTATAAGTTAGCATTTATTTGGTAGTATAGCTGCAGTTAAAAGTTAAAAATTTTGAATGAAATCAAATATATAATCGAAATTAACATAACACAAATGCCTAGCAATTGGTATAAAACATGTCCACCAAAATACGTCCCAAAGGTAGGATAAACCGTTGTATTTGCAAACAAGGTCATTATAAGGCCCATAGAATTATTGCTTACTTTAAACAAGATTAAAGAAAGCCCTGAATTATCAACTTATTAGTTAGTAGCCGTCTCCGTTTAAAAATTGATTTGACTCAGAACGTGCTCTTGTCCTGTACGTAAATGTGCATAATAGTTACCTGTATGAAATAAGTGTGTGAATGATATTCATTAGACCAATACAGAATACCAGAAACGAAGACAGGATAGCACAAACTGAAAAAAATAAGTACATATATATAAAATACATGTACACATGTAATACTGAAATCGCCAAAGAGAAGGACTTCATATCGGTAGTCTTAGCACTATTTAATTGTTTTTTTCCCAGAATATTTTAGCAGGGGCCTTTTACGATGTTACATGGCAATTGGTTTAATTTGGGCTAAGTTTTATAATACATGTACATGTATTTTGAATGCACTTAAGAGTTGATTCCTATTTGATATCACGAATTTGACAATAGCAAATTCTTTTCACATTCTAGTAACCCCGGAGAAAAATTTACAAAATTTTCGTACAACTTAAAAAAAATAACCAATCTATAGTATTTACTTTTGATAAACTGTTATATTGACTACAAAATCAAGGAGATTTGAATTTGGGCACCAACTGGTGCATCGATTACCTTGTATAGCGACGGTTACGTCCCTTGTCACACTGAGCACTGTGATTGTAAAGTTGGTATTGATACCGTGTTCTTCTGAGAAACCTTCCACCCTCGAGATTTTCCTCAAAATTAGGGATTTTATATAGGAGAGTAGCGGAATCAGTCCAAGAAGAACTTCCGCAGATATCTGAAAAAAGAAATCGGCGGAATCTAAGACATTTCCATGAATTTGTTGGATATCTAAAACAAGTTTTGACTTCTGTGTCCGTGTATAAAATATAAATTAAAAAAATCCTTACCATGTAAATAAGAAGCACCCCAATTACTACCACCCCCATCATTCGCAGAGAATACCGAAATTCTGCTCAAAGAAAAGATTTAAATATGAATAATTACATAAGAAAGTGTTATTTCAAAAGATAGATTCTCTCTCTCTCTCTCTGTGTGTGTGAGGGTGTGTGTGTGTGTGGGGGGGGGGGGGGGGGGGGTAGGGATACCATCTAATTTATTAATGAGGTAAAGGATTTCATTTTACTAAAACAAGTAAAATATGAAAAAGGAACCCAAAGGATTGTGAAAAAATATAGTGTTTCAAAATTGTTACTTCTTCCGAGTTCTTCTTGCAAATCGGATTACTGATTGTTTATATACCTGGAATATTTTTGTATGTCACTTTGGTTCTTATTTCCATCATAAGTTCCTTCAGTCTGTGTCCAAAAGAATTGTCTGCATCGCTAGCCCTAGAGTATAAATTACAAGTCTTGATTAATTCACTTCCATATTGTTAATTGGCCTTTTAAAATCACTACTTTCAAGGGAAAGGATAGTATAGGCGAATCTTTGCATTCTTTTTTTTTTAAATTTATTTTAATTTATTTCAGTTGTTTGTCTATTTTTCATTCTCATTTGTTTTGATGTTTTTTAATTTATTTTGTTTCTTTATTTTTTTCCTTTGTAGTCAGTTTAACAGGCAGTTTTCTTAGAAAATTGATCGATTCAAAAACAAGATTTTTTTTTAAAAATTTCCAAAACAATTTTTCTAATCGCTCACTGGTTTATAGACCGACATCAAGTACAAAGGTAACTTGGGCAATACAGGAGGAATTGGTATATGTAAATACTAACACCTTGTTTTTCAGTGTTTCTTTGGGTCTTTTCTTAAGCAGACTCTGGACGTATCTCCCCTGCGGAGTTTGCCTTATGCTATCTGTTTCCTGCGCAGAAAATTCTTCGTACGTACCGTCCACCTTCTTTAAAATTTTACGGACAGACAAGATCAACCTTGCTGGAAAGCTAACAGCCAGGAAAACGAGGCACATGAAGATGGGAATGTTTTGTATGAATAATACCAGTCGCCTCCCCTGTAATATACAGCATCATACATAATAATACCGGTTGCCTCCCCTGTAATATACAGCATCGTACATAATAATACCAGTCGCGTCCCCTGCAATATACAGCATCGTACATAATAATACCAGTCGCCTCCCCTGTAATATACAGCATCGTACATAATAATACCAGTTGCCTCCCCTGTAATATACAGCATCGTACATAATAATACCGGTTGCCTCCCCTCTAACCTTTGCTGCCAGTTCGATGATTTAGCCACCCGAGGAGCTCCATATTTACCGATACCAAAAGGCAAGTTGTACAAGCAATCGTATAATAAAATATGACGTTACGTATATGGCACCCATTTTCTCTCTATGAATAATATCGAACAATCTAATTTAAACTGGAGATTGGTTCCAATTCCTAAGAAACCTTAATTTACAAAACTTAAAATAGTGCAAAACAACCCTTTACAGCACTTAGCATTATAAACTTTACCTCTTCACCGTAACAACCAAGTCTCTGAATAATGAACAGTGATGTCATCGTCCAAATATAAAGTGTCCCCACCATGTCTCCTATCACCGTCTTGTCTGCCAGAGCAGTCAACAAGGGGAAGTAATCCAGCGTGTATACAATGATGGAAACAACAGCACCTAGAACTTTTGTGTCAAAGTAGATATAATTCCTATTGATTGGGAATTATTCACTATGCTCAAACTTTCAAAATCTGATTCTAAGTATGATAGAATTGTTAGAATCAGATTTTAAAAGTATGATAGTATTGATATTGTTCTAGTCTTACCAAAGGTTTTTTTAATTACGAATATTTCACCATAAAATATTGCAGAAAAATTAATATTGATATAGAAAATGGAAGGAAAATTATATTTTGAAAAATAAACATAATGATTCTTCTTTGGAAAAAGAAAAAAAAGGAATGTTTTCAAAATGAAATACTTTGGACGTTCAGGGGACCGTCATTGGCACGTCGTACAACGTATCGTCGTTTGACAGCAATCTCAAAACAAAGGAACGTTAAGGCACCGAATATTGCGGCAAAGGAAAACCGGTCTGATCCGAAGGTATCTTTAGGCCTGTAATAATGAAATTTTATGATTTTAGTTTGAAATAAAAAAAAAAATAACATTACCGAATAAGGTTTTGTGCTGAATTAAATCTTCTTATCAGTTGGTTTTAAGTGTTTCTTTTTGAACCTTCATAATTGATTTACAAATTCACTCATCTTTATTCTAATCATTTTGTTTTAGATCGACATATTGTTTGAGTAGATTCTTACTTTCTCGAGACACTTTTTCCATGTAAAACACGACCGACAACCTCCAATTTTGAGACGAATAAAAACGTTATGATCAGAACCTGAAATTCAACATAATCATAATTTCTTAAACGCATGCCGCATAAATTTAAAGCTTCATTCCAATATTTTAAATCGTGATTAGATGTTCTATGGAATTTCGTAAAAAATTAAATTTAATACTGAAATGACGTCACTGTGACGTACTGCTGGAATGAGGAGAAAGACGTACATGTCCTGATGGTCGATAGGATCTTCACACTCCTTTCTGTAACAGTAAATATATATGTATGATATAGGTTTTAGAAAAAAAATAGAATAATATAATTTTTTATAAGAAGACATGGGGATTATTTTTTATTCTATCAGTAATTTTTCTTCTCTTTTTTTCTAGGTAACTTTTGTAAAATGAGATGATATGAGAAGAAAAGGAATATGTATTTGGTATGAATTGATCGATTCCTACAAGTTACACATCAGAGAACGGAGGAAAAAAATCGATTGCTGGATTTTTTAAACCTACCCCCACTTTGGATAGAGATATCCCACCTTTCGATCCGTTCATCAGAACAAAAATATGTACATATTTACATTTTTATATCTTAACATTAAAATTGCATTGGGAAACATTTCCTATATGACAAATAACTCAGATAACGTCAAACAGCCTCGAGATTTTACGAGAAGTGGGGATTTGGTGTAAGGGGGGGGGGGGAGGGGGGTAACGAAGTGTTTCAATATATATCATTGTCTTGTATTTACCTGTGTGTGACTTCTTTTTCCCACGCCTCTCTGAATGCTTTGCGAAGATTTCTGGCAACTTCGGGGGCATAGTAGTACCCTGTTTCGCTGCTAATATTTGAACTATTCATTCCTGCATATTGTGCTAATAAAATACAAAATAATTCAGAGTGTAATTTTAGTTGAGTGCGTTTTGCAAAAACATGTGTTCATATTTATTTGGTGCAAAATGAAAGTTAAATTCAGAAAAGATGGTGTTGAATTGTTTTTTGCAGAAAAGTAATACAATGTAAATAAGAAATTCTTTGAAACAAAAAGTAACATTGTTTAGCGAATCTCTAGACTGGAGTTTTACGAAATCTGAAAACAATTATGTTTCTCTTTCAGAGTATTACATTATCTTTTTTTTTCTTTGATTCCATATGTAATAGATGTTTTTTCAAATATTTTATCATGCGTATACATATGTAAGACATCAAGTATTTGATTTTTGGAAACAATCGCCGTCACTTTTCTGCATTACTGTAAACATTAATAATGGGATCTAAACATGTTCAGAAATGCTACTTCTCAAATTTTAGGGCATGTTGCCATGGTAACCATGACACATAGCAACCTATTTTACCTGATATGAGTTTATGCTACTTTAAAATACTTTTATCATAACAAATTTTAGGCTCCTATCTATACCTTTCACAGCCACAATCCAAATAGGAAAACAATATAAATCCTATCGCCACTTCAATTTATATTCCTTCCGTAATCATTGCCTTTCAAAATTACAAAAGTTATATACAGTGTACATGCAAGGCCTAACGAGTATAAGAAATATGTACAAGTATCAATTGGTGTAGCGGTCATCGTGAGCAATCGTTTCATTTGTAATCCTACTTCAAAAAGATCATCCGCTTTTTCGAGAAATCGGAAGCTAGAGATGCTTCGGTCGAGATGTTTACACTTTTTATCGGTGTTGACACTAAACTGGCAATGTTGATTCATATTCGGATATATATCTGTGGTAATCTGATATCAAAGAGAGAAAAGAAATTGACCCTAAAGGAAACTACACGTATACATCAATTACAGTCGTATGTCGCATAATTCCATAATACATTCTTGAATCAAATGCTTCAATTCTTTTGATGCAGATCCAGGGTTGTCACTAACTTTAGAACTGTAGCTCTCACCATAAAAAAACCCTGACAGTCCATCGAATCCACTAGGTTTCTGAAAAAGGGTGCGGGGAAGGTCTGGGAGGGGTCTCCAAAGTCATTTTTTTTTAATATAACTACATGCATTGCCATTATGATTGGTTCTGGTGCAATCTAAAAGTCATATATATTTTTTTACATAATACTAGTATTAAATGGATAATGTCTTTCATAAATTCTTTAAAGATTTATTCAAAATCCTCTACGTGAGAAGAAAACTCGATATTTTGATATATCGACGACGTTTTATCAATTAAAGCAATATGAGCTGCATTTTTTTGAGAATTTTATTTTGCTGTTTAAATGTGTTATTATGATAAAGTTATATGTAATTTTAAACCTTTTTGATCAATTAGACAGAAAATTAAGTTCCAAATTGTTTCAGAATAAAGGATTCTGTACAATCAAATATATGAAATATGAAGATAACGAACAGTATTCAATCTCTGAAGTCCAATGAAACGAAAAAAAAAAAAATAGCAGAGCAAACACAGACCTCAAAATTTAGAGGTGAGATCAGGTGCCATGGAGGAGTGAGCATCCCTGCCGACCGGTCACACCCGCCGTATGCTCCTTGTCACGATCGGGAAACAAAAAAAAAAAAACGGAAAAATCCGTAGACAGTTCAATGTATAAATAATGACCTAACAATTAGTATGAAAAACGTCAGTCAGCATTTGACTCAATGATAGGTGGCATGTGCTGACAAGGTCATTGTATCTACCGAAAACCTTGCGAAAAGATGACTCCTAACGAGACTGTTGATATCCTTGTTTCGTCAACTTGTTTGTCAATAGCTTGCCTCGTTTTAGAAATTGTTCATAAGTAGAGCATGCTCTTGCGTATCAAATCAACTGAGAGACATAAACCCCATATGAAGGTGATAAGGGTATATTGCTACATAAGTAAGGTAAGTTGACGATTGAAAAGTTGAAGTCATCACGTTTATCATAAAGCTTTGTTGTTAGGTTACCATTAACGTCTTTTTCTAGTAAAATATCTAAATATGGAACAGATGTCAGAATCTGTGGTATTTTTTATTTCAAGCTCAGTGGGATATATCAAGTCGACATATGAATGAAAGTAACTATTGTTAATTGATAATACATCATCGATATATCGAAATGTCGAGTTGTAGGCCACAGTAAGTGTTTTCTTCTTCTCATGTAGAAGTTTTTAAATAAATTCTGCTTCATATGCATACAAAAATAAGTCAAACTCTTCTAATAATGGGGCGCAATTGGTACCCATGTGAATTCCAACAGATTGTGTTATATAAGAAATCAATATTATACAGGACGACAATAATATAATTTTGCTTCAATCAATTGAAAGCTTATAAATAGTTCTTCTATCGCAAATTTGAAAAACAGAAGTTTATAAACGTTCTTATTTTTTCTGTCATTGAAAAAGTAAATTACAATTTTGCAACAAAAATTTCTGGCATCAAAGTTGCAGCTCATATTGCTTTAACAATAGTTACATTCATTCATATGTCGATTCGATATATCCCAGTGAACTTGAAATAAAAGACACAACTTAGTCTGTCACATCTGTTTCATATATAATTGGATATTTTACTGACTATAGACGATAATGGCCAACTAAGTACTAAACTGAATGGCAAACAGAAGACTTGAGCTTTTTAATCGTTAACTTCTCCTATTTATAGTAATATATTCCAACACCACCTGCTGTTTATGTCTCGAAACGATAGAGCATGCTCTGAGTACGATCGATTTAAAAACGAAGCAAGCTACAGACAAATAAGTTGATGTTATAAGGATTTCAACAACTCCGTTTAAAGTAAACTTTTTGCAAAACTACGGTCTTCATAATGACCTTGTTTGTAAATACAACCGGACAGGGAAAAAACTATATACCCCCGAATCTTCGATTACTATAGTTACCTATAGTTTACAATAGTATCAAAGTGTTTACTAAAGTAATTAAAATCAGTCGCCCGCATGGCGCAGTTGTTACAGCGTTTGCTCTAGAGTCGCGGTGTAAGGAGTAGATCCATAGTCGCGGGTTCAAATCCACTTCGGGATGTGGAGGTCCTTCGGATGAGACCGTATAAATCGAGGTCCCGTGTCGCAATAGGTGCTAGCACGAAAAAGATCCCTCGCTGCTCAATGGCCCTGAGTGCCGAGTATAGGTCAAAATCTGCAGCCACCGACGTTTCCATATGAATGAAAAATTTCTGGAGAGGGACGTTAAACAACAAACACACAAACGAAAAAAACTAAAGTAAATCACAGTTTTTACTCAATTAAATCAAAGTATATTTACTATGAATTTCAGATTGTTACATTTCATGTTCTTCAATTCATACATGCTCATTTTTTTTTATATTAAATGAAAATATTGTATATTTACAAACTATTTTCAAATCTTACATCCTGGGTATTGAAAATAACAGATTTTGAGGTATAAAATCTTTTTTTAAAAGTTCTAAAGTTCATAGGAAATCAAAGTACACGCTATATTAATTAAAGTGTTTACTACAGTTGACTAAAGTAAATTTTTATTAGGGTGGGCCCAAACAAAGACAGCTGAAGTTTCTGTCGTAAATTGCCTCACCCCACTTTTTGGGGAAAATCAGTATATAGCATAATTCAAATGCACTTTTGTTAATGAAAGAAAAAGTGAGCAAGCTCACATACCCCACGCTCCCCCAAAACTCAACAATGCAACACATTTTAAATACACAATATAATTATTCAACAAGAGGCCCAGGGGCCACATCGCTCACCTGAGCACTATGGCTAGGAAAAAGCAGAAATCAGTTCAGTCTTGAAAGGTTGAAAAGTTTGAATAAAAAAGTGGTTCGGGGGGAGGGGGGGGGGTGTCATAAATTGAGCAAATTTGAATCTACATTATCTGAGGATGCTTCCATTTAAATATGACCAATCATGGCTTTGCTGTTCTTGAGTAGAAGATTTTCAAAGATTTAACCTATGTATTCCTATGTAAAACTTTGATCGCCCATTGTGGCCCCACCCGACCCCCGGGGGTCATGATTTGAACAAACTTGAATCTACACTATCTGAGGATGCTTCAATGTAAATATGACCAATCATGGTTTTGCTGTTCTTGAGAAGAAGATTTTTAAAGATTTTTCCTATATATTCCTATGTAAAACTTTGATCGCCCATTGTGGCCCCACCCGACCCCTGGGGGTCATGATTTGAACAAACTTGAATCTACACTATCTGAGGATGCTTCCATGTAAATATGACCAATCATGGTTTTGCTGTTCTTGAGAAGAAGATTTTTAAAGATTTTTCCTATATATTCCTATGAAAAACTTTGATCGCCCATTGTGGCCCCACCCGACCCCCGGGGGTCATGATTTGAACAAACTTGAATCTACACTATCTAAGGATGCTACCATATAAATATGACCAATCATGGTTTTGCTGTTCTTGAGAAGAAGTTTTTTAAAGATTTTTCCTATATATTCCTATGTAAAACTTTGATCGCCCATTGTGGCCCCACCCGACCCCCGCGGGTCATGATTTGAACAAACTTGAATCTACACTATCTGAGGATGCTACCATATAAATATGACCAATCATGGCTTTGCTGTTCTTGAGAAGAAGATTTTTAAAGATTATTCCTATATATTCCTATGTAAAACTTTGATCGCCCATTGTGGCCCCACCCGACCCCCGGGGGTCATGATTTGAACAAACTTGAATCTACACTATCTGAGGATGCTACCATATAAATATGACCAATCATGGCTTTGCTGTTCTTGAGAAGAAGATTTTTAAAGATTTTTCCTATATATTCCTATGTAAAACTTTGATCGCCCATTATGGCCCCACCCGACCCCCGGGGGTCATGATTTGAACAAACTTGAATCTACACTATCTGAGGATGCTTCCATGTAAATATGACCAATCATGGCTTTGCTGTTCTTGAGAAGAAGATTTTCAAAGATTTTTCCTATATATTCCTATGTAAAACTTTGATCGCCCATTGTGGCCCCACCCGACCCCCGCGGGTCATGATTTGAACAAACTTGAATCTACACTATCTGAGGATGCTACCATATAAATATGACCAATCATGGCTTTGCTGTTCTTGAGAAGAAGATTTTTAAAGATTATTCCTATATATTCCTATGTAAAACTTTGATCGCCCATTGTGGCCCCACCCGACCCCCGGGGGTCATGATTTGAACAAACTTGAATCTACACTATCTGAGGATGCTACCATATAAATATGACCAATCATGGCTTTGCTGTTCTTGAGAAGAAGATTTTTAAAGATTATTCCTATATATTCCTATGTAAAACTTTGATCGCCCATTGTGGCCCCACCCGACCCCCGGGGGTCATGATTTGAAAAAACTTGAATCTACACTATCTGAGGATGCTTCCATGTAAATATGACCAATCATGGCTTTGCTGTTCTTGAGAAGAAGATTTTTAAAGATTTTTCCTATATATTCCTATGTAAAACTTTGATCGCCCATTGTGGCCCCACCCAACCCCCGGGGGTCATGATTTGAACAAACTTGAATCTACACTATCTGAGGATGCTTCCACATAAGTTTCATATTTTCAAGCACAGTGGTTCTTGAGAAGAAGATTTTTTAATGATGCCATTAATTTTTCACGAATTCTTAATTATCTCCCCTTGGAAGAAGGTGCGGCCCTTCATTTGAACAAACTTGAATCCCCTTAACCCAAGGATACTTTGTGGCAAGTTTGGTTGAAATTGGCCCAGTAGTTCTGGAGAAGAAGATGAAAATGTGAAAAGTTTACAACAACGACGACGCCAACGACGACAGACAACGGACAAATTTTGATCAGAAAAGCTCACTTGAGCCTTTGGCTCAGGTGAGCTAAAAAGGGGCATTACCTGCAAAAAATCATCACATCAAAACTTCTTGCATATAAGGACATTCAAATCTTTGTATGTTACAAATTTAATTGGGCTGAAGTTTCTAGGTAAATAATGGAATCAAAATTTCTTGGTAATATACAAATCTATACATTATGTCTGAAATACCTACAAAGTTTCAGGAAATTCAGTGCAGGAGTTATGCTGACAAACTGTTATTTAAATTCCTCAGTGATTTCGATTTGTTAATGAGTATAAGTCCATGTCCAACACATGACAATTTAAACATTTAAATAATTAATGGAAACAAAATTATGATGTAGTCATATGAATTTGTTTTTAAATACTGTATTATGAAATTATTTAAGGCAAAGCACCAATTTGAGAGGGGTGGGGTGGGGGGTTGGGGTTGAGAACTATCCAAGATTTTGTGTGTGTGTGTGTGTGGGGGGGGGGGGGGGGGGGGTGTTATATCATTAATATTTTGATCTCAAAATCAATAGGGGTCTTTTAAGGTCATAAAATATTTCACATAAAATTTAATTACCAAAGCTGATTCCAGTGGATTTCCTTATTACCTAGCTGGAAAGTTTCTTCAATAATAGGCAAAACTCTTAAGGCAAAAATTATGGAATCGGAATTTCCTGGTAATATGCACATCTATACACTGTGTACTAAATATCTGCAAAGTTTAACCAAATTCTGTGCACAGTTTAAGAGGAGTTGCACTAACAAACTGTTCGTCTCTATATTCAAGATATAGCCAAAAATCTGAGTTGAAAAGTTCCGAAATTCCCAGAAAAATAATGGAATCGGAATTTCCTGGTAATATGCACATCTACACACTGTGTACTAAATATCTGCAAGGTTTGACCAAATTCTGTGCAGCGGTTTAAGAGGAGTTGCGCTGACAAACTTCATCTCTATATTCAAGATATGGCCAAAAATCTAAGTTGAAAAGTGCCGAAATTCCCAGAAAAAATAAAGGAATCAGAATTTCCTGGTAATATGCACATCAACACATTGTGTCCTAAATATCTGCAAAGTTTGACCAAATTCTGTGCAGCGGTTTATGAGGAGTTGCGCTGACAAACTGTTCATCTCTATATTCAACATACGGCAAAAAATCTAAGTTGAAAAGTGCCGAAATTCCCAGAAGAAATAAAGGAATCGGAATTTCCTGTTAGTATGCACATCTACACATTGTGTCCTAAATATCTGCAAAGTTTGACCAAATTCTGTGCAGTGGTTTATGAGGAGTTGCGCTGACAAAAAAACAGGACTGACGGACTGACTGACTGACTGACACACTGACTGACTGACTGACTGACTGACGGACGGGTCAAAAACATTATACCCCCCGCAACTTGTTGCGTGGGGTATAATTAGCAAGATTAGGTCTTTTTTTATTATTCCATATATTTTATTCTTTTCACAGTACCATTCATACTTTCTCCGACAATCATCTCCCCATCATTGACGATGCACAACGCACATGGTCTTTGAATCCCTTGATCTAAAATAATGTATCTTAAGAATTGTCCTTCCATGTCCAGCATATGTATCTTGTCGCCAATGTAGTCAGTAACAATGATGTGACCGATGGGATCGGTGGTGATTCCACAAACATGAAAAATATTTTCATTGCCCGCGCAAGAAAAACAAAATAATCCCAATTTATTGACAGCAATAAGAGCCCCTTTCCCCCAGTCAGCTACAATGATATCTCCATTAACATTCTCTGCTATGTAATTTATTTTATTATACAAAGGCTGAGACTGCGAGTCGAACTGGATTTCCTGGAGCACGGTACCAGTGGCACTGTATCGCACGACTTTGGACTGATTGTCTTTACAGAGACAGACTAATAGGTCATCAGACATGGTAGTCGTGATTCCAAACGGATTCCAGTCCCCGGTTTTAAATAATGTCACTTCTGTGTTGTAGTTGGATATTTTCTTCAATGCTGCTGTTGCAGAGAAGACCACTTCTGTTTTGTATACAGTTATGTTTGTGCATAATACGGAGATGCGGATAGTTTTATGGAGAATTCCCTGGAGATCAAACAATTTCAGTTCACCATTCGTTCCACTGATCCACACTTTTTTATCCCTGGTAACAGCCATGTCAAAAAGGCGATATTTATTTTCATCTTCAACAAACCCGGTCTCTATAGTTGCGATAACTTTTGGTGGAATTATTTTTTTGCAACTCAAAATATTGTCAACAGGGTTAACCATCAACTTCTGAACAGAGATCTTCCTTTCTCTCATTCTTTCAATGTAGCCAAAATAAGTTTTTAAAACGTTTTCTTCTATTTTAGATTCACAAAAAACTGGAAATGACCACTCTGCAAAATTTGATCCAGTTGTCTGTTTTTCAATCATTGGTATAATTTTTTTCATTTCCTCAACATTCTTTGATTTTTTGAATTTCATCGTTTTCTTATTAATTATATCAATCTCTGCCAAAATTTTTTCACATTCATCCTTCTGCTTCTGGAGCACTGAATCGTGCTCCTTCTGCATTTCATCCAGTTCCTTGTGTAAATTCTTCACTAGTTCCTCAATGTGTTTCTGCCATTCTTCTCCCCTTGCTGTCACTTCCTCCTTTCTCTGTCGGTAAATCTTAGAGAGCGAAAACAGTCTTTTTGTAGTGTGATCAAGAATTTTCTCAAGTTCAGTCTTGAATGATTGAAGTCGCTCATTTTCACACATGATGACTTTCATTAGATCTTCAATTTTCTCGGACAGCTCAGACATTTCATGTGACTTGTGTTTGATAGATACACAGACTAAACATATCGGGGTTTCACATGTTTTGCAGTAAGTGCAGCATTCTTCTTGTGGATGGGAGTCGCAGGTACAAGTTTCGTCATCATCTTTATTAACATTGTCCACAACGTCATGTACGTTCTTTGATTTAACACGCAGATGTGTTGGAACACATGCATCACAGAGGTTGGTCACGCATCGTCTGCAGAAGAACGTGGCTGGATTTTTGCATACGTCACACTCGAGAAAATGTTGAAATTGGATTGTTTCGTTAGACGCCATCTTTTTTTTTTCTTTTGGTTAATTATAACCTGGAGAAAAATTGACATGTATGTCTTAAATATAACAATGTAGTACATATTATTTCAGAAAGAATATGCATGTAATAGTCTACTCTTATACACAAAAAATACATAATTATGTTGAATGATATGTAGGGGGAGCGTAGTCAGAGGCGTTTCTGACACCTGACACCCCCCCCCCCCCCTTTGTATTTTCAGACTTTTATACTGTAAAGTCAATAAAAAGTTCTTCTAGGACCATCATAAGTTGTATCAAAAAAGTACCTTATCCACTATTTCATCCCTACCCTTTTGGGGTTCTGAAAGGAGTATAGAAGCCCCCCCCCCCCCCCTTGGGAAAAATTCCTAGTTCCGCCCTTATTTGGTATAAAAGTGTCGAGCATAAATTAAAAAAAACTGTTCAATTCTATATGGACAAAACGATGTATTAACTTCTTTTGAAAATATTTATGCATACCAATTCCATATTTTATATATATATATATATATATATATATATATATATATATATATATATATATATATATATATATGTATATATACATATATATATAGGCAATCGTTGATCACTTGGAAAGGCTTAATCAGAATTTAAAGAAGTGTGAACGATAACATGGTGACAAAAATATTTTTTTAATTTTTAACAACAAATTTAGGCAAAACTTGAATTAATTTTTACATTAAATATATAAAATTCAGTTATAAATTATTGGTCTTTGCGTAGTGATGTACAATGGATTTAAAACATGTCGCTTACGTCTTACAAAATCGAAAATGCACTGATACGTCAGAGACATAAACAAGAGGCCCATGGGCCACATCATTCATCTGAGCACATTGGCTAGGAAGAAGCAGAAATCAGTTCAGTATATTGAAAAGTTTTAAGGGGGGACAAACTTAAATTTACACTACCTCAGGTTGCTTCTAAATCAATATTACCCATCATGGCTTTGCTGTTCTTAAACAGAAGAATTTTAAAGATTATTTCACATGTATTCCTATGTAAAACTCTGATTGCTCAATGTGGCCCCCACCCTACCCACCCTAAATTTGAACAAATTTGAATCTACACTACCTGAGGATGCTCCTATAATAATATGACTAATCATGGCTTTGCTATTCTTGAGCAGCGGTTTTTTTTTTTACGATGATTCCTACATATTCTTATGCAAAACTTTGACCCTCTGTTGTGCCCCAACCCCTGGGGGATCATGATTTGAACAAACTTGATTCTACACTACTTAAGGTTGCTTCTGTATAAATATGACTAATAATGGCTTAGTTGTTCTTGAGAAGAAGATTTCAAAGACATTTCGTATATAACGTGTATGATAGAACAGGGAATTATTTAATCTTAGACTAATTATAAATCCTGGATTTTCACAAAATTTTAAAATCAGGTGTAGTGCCTGAAGACTAAGTTAGTTTTGCTTGAAATAGCAGTTTTCACTGTAGTAGATACTGTCTAAAGGGGTAAGTGTGTATATAAGAAGCTAATAAAATTGAATTATTGTTTATTTTTATTCATTCATGTTTGTATTGTGTTCCAATTTCATATTTTTATTGTTTATTTTCAGTCATAATTAATATTTCTAGGGTAAATGTCTTTTATGCAGTGTATCTGGTGTTCTACTGTTGAAGCTGTAGAAAATAATGACGCATGCGCAGATGGGGGTTAGTCGATGCCTGGCATCAAAAAACGACTAACCCCCATTTGCGCATGCGTCATTATTTTCTTGCTAAATTCTGCAGTTTTCTGCAATCAAACGGCGATATTAAAATAATCCATCGAATTTCCGTCATTAAATTATGCTACGACTCCACTGTTATCGCAAAACGTTCCTTCCGAGTTGTAGATATCCGTTAAACATTGCCAACAACGCACGGCTTCATAGTCCCCATGAATGAAGACCCGACTGAAGAAATGACTCGCAGCAAACGAAAATACATACCGATGCGTATTCCGCACGACAACTGCAAACACTTACATATGTTTTCACAACCATAACAACTTTTAAATCCAACGAAATGGTCAGAAAAACGCAGCGATGTAAACACTACCAAATTTACAGCAGCTTCCTTATGCAGACAACCACTCCTCGACGTCACAGTCGTAAATTACGACGTCACAGGTACACTCTTTTCCCGAACTTTTCCAATGCAAAATGGCGATTAAGCATTGTACGTAATATAAGGTATACTGTCTTTGTTGTTCAGCACACGTACTTTTAATTGTTTGTAAAAAGTTCTCCTTTTACCAGGTAATTGAATATCACAAGAGGAAAGGAAACTGGAATGTCTTCAGTACAGAAATCGGTCTTTGAAATTTGAAGATCCATGATCCGCCCACTTGTTTCACCTCCAGCTAAGAGGTGCATATTTAGTGTGCAAATCGAGAGTTTTAAAGCCATTGTGACGTCACCCTCAATAATTTGTAACAGATCTATCAGTGAAATCTTACACATGAATCAATAAAAAAAAATAATAATAACATAGTTAAACTGTGGAAAACGTTAGTTTGTGTACCATAAACAAATTCCCAAGCCTTTGTGACATTACTCCTAAACTTGCAATGACGGGGAACAGAGAAAAATACTGCGTCATAAATATAATAATAATAGTATTTGAATACACCAGTCAGATTAAACCACCTCGTGTCCTCTTTTCTTGTACTTTACAAACGTATTTTTTTTTTTAGACAGAATACCCCCCCCCCCCCCTTGGCGAAAAACGGATCGAGTACTCAGTTCAAATATTTTAATTTTTATTATTTTCATCATCAAAATATATATATATTTGTATTGGCTCAAAAAAAGAATTGAACAAGTTAAATTGATGCAAAGTATCAAATAGACCTCAAAAATATATAAAGCAAAAATCTGAAGTATTTCCAAAAGAAAGAGCCCCCCCCTCCCCCTCCAAAAAATGCATTTATGGCAGAATCTAGGAGAGGTGGATCTAAGAAAAAAAATATTTTCTTCAGTGGCATGTCTGATGCACCTTGGAATTTAGTGTGTTTTTTATTTTTTATTATAGCCTTAAAATATTTCTGAATCTAGGGAGAATCCACAGTGTGCAAGTCTTTCTAAGACACTGTGAGTTACCCCAATACTCTGCATATTTCACTTACCCATTGAGAAGAAGGTAAACATGGCCTATTTACACCCTTCATACGTTCAAAGGCAACATTTCTCAATATTTGAAATTTTAATTCTTTTCCCCAGACACTCTCCTTCCTATCTATGCCCTAAAATCTGTCCATCCCACTCCGTGCGAATCCTAAGACATATTTACGGGAAAAAACCCTGCGCTTTGCGTGGTTAATGAAATGGGGTAAATTAGTAACCTGTGGCATACTTATACTTTCTAAAATCAAATTAAGGGTTACATACAAATTCCAACATTTATTTTAATTTCCTTTTTATTTAACTTTGTTTATTGTTTACTCTTTTATTTTCTATAATTATGTTTCATTTAAATGTATTATTATTATTATTGAGCACATAAAATATTGAAATTATGCCACCCCCCGAAAAAAAAATTAAAGGCGTCATATTATTCTTTAAAAATAAAATTTAAAGCTTTAATCTTATATCTGTAAAAGTTTTGGATCCTTCCCTCAACACTGTTGACATCATTTGTCTTGGATAACATAAAGATAAGCGTAAGCCAGCGTTAATTGCGCTTTGATTGAATTCAGTCTACATGCAGCTACACCAGAGAAAATCCACAGAATTTCTTCCCATGTAGAAAAGTGCATCTTTATGATAGACTTTTACACTGTTCGACTTTTCTGTGTGTGTTTTATCCCCTCGCAACGGAGTTGCGTGTTTGTTTGTGGGTGAGTGAGATAATTCTGTGCGAAACGGAAGTGACGTAATTTGCATTGGAATCGATGTCGGATGCTGCCTTAGCTTATGGATAATAAATTGCGCAGCTCGATCACTATATAATAGTATGCTGCTAATCTATTATTATTATCATTTTCTTTAGCCTCATGTGGTTTTCTACCTTCTCAATATTTTTGTCCCCGTTTCAGACAATTGTGGATATGTTACAAATCTTGCATTTTCACGAGTATCTTATTTGTGGTATTGTAATCTTCCATTTATACCTACATGTTAAATATAACATGGTTAATATTCTACCATATTACGATATTTTAATATTATTTAATTAAATGCGATCTTATTGTAATAATTGTATTTGCCCTCTGAGGGCCCTTGATTGGTGAATAAACATACTATTATATATCATATTTCAACAACATGGGAATGGAAAGGGGCTGTAAGCCTTTGAATGAAATTTTCCATACAAGGACTCTTTTCAGACAAACTATTATTGCGCAGATTTAGAGGGATATCTGGAGTGTCCAACTCCACCCTCGGATATTTTCTGAGATATAAAATTTAAATAGCAAAGTAAACCAAAATGACCCCCCCCCCCCCGTTTAAAAAAAACTCAGACACTTAGGACACTTGGTAAAATGTGATCGAATGAGTCATTTACATGTCCTAACACCCGCTCCCAAATAGATTGTTCGCTGATTCTTGGCTACTCCAAAAAATTTGAGATTTTTTTTTTCTGTTGGAGTTGCCCCTTCATTCTCCTAACCTCAGAAAATAATCACACGTTTCAAAGCACACCATCATGTAAGAAATATTAATTTGTTTATATTTCACATAAATTAATCCTTCTAAATGTAAATCCTGTCTCTCCATATAGCGTCCCTGCATTGATGATGATTTTCCTGGTCGATGTTCACAGGCTCGACTTGTAGTACTAGTAATGCAGTGCTGGATTTTCAAACTCGCAATCGCGTGGCAATATTGTATAGGAAACAGATCACGTCACATTTTGATAAAATATTTCGGAAAAAATAAAATAATGATAGTGAAGGTAACATTATGTAAGCAAAATCATATAATTGTTCTTTTTTTGCTGGGAAAATTGTTAGACTGGAGTGATGCTTTTATAATATGCACAGTATTATTTCT